CTCCCCCTGAAGTCTGACCCCTCCCCCTGAAATCTGACCCCTCCTCCTGAAGTCTGACCCCTCCCCCTGAAGTCTGACCCCTCCCCCTGAAGTCTGACCCCTCCCCTTGAAGTCTGACCCCTCCCCCTGAAGTCTAGCCCTTCCCCCCTGAGATCCTGGGGAAAGGGAGACATCTACTCTGCCTACAGAGGTTGCCCTATGTCTTGGGCCACTGCTGTCTCCACTGAACAGCACGTTGTGTGCCAACCTACTCTGGCATCATTAGCAGCTGGGATCCTCATTCCAGACCTTGGTTCTTGGGACCAAGGGGGAGAGGAGTTGAAAGCAGAGGAGGAGGATGCTCCTACCTCTGTGTCTCTGAAGTTAGAAAGACTTTGAGCTTATTGTGTTCCCTATGTGTCCCTTGGATGTACATGTCCAGACAGGCATGGCCACCATGACCCTCGCCTCCATGCTCACCCCCCCCCCCCCCCCCGCCGAGCCTTGGGATTGTGGTGGCGTATGCACACCCCCAAAGCTGGCCAGCTGCTTCATGACTCCCTGTCCACCAGAGACCCAAAGTAGAAGAGGTCTGTCTACTTCAGAGCTGCCCACCTCAGTGTGGCCCCTCTCATACTGTCCCTTCCACTTTGTCCAAAGTGAGACCACATGGACTCCAGAGGCCAGTTGCCCAGGTTCAAGTCCCAGCTTGAGTCTTAGCTGTGTGACACTGGGCAAACATCTTGCTTCTCTGAGCCTCAGCTTCTTCTTCCACAAGGAAGTCAGTAGTTAACCACTTCACATGCGGGTGCTGGGAATCCGAGTGGACTGGTGAACACATGAAAAATGGTTAAACAGTGTAAGCATGATGTACACATGAAGGGTTCCAAGGCACTAAGCAAGTGATGCAGATGAAAGATCTGCCATTCCTGCCTCTGTGGAGAGATGCAAGTCACTGATAAGTTCAGCAGAAGATGAGTTGATGAAGTAAGGAACTTGCCAGGAGAGTTTGCAAAGCAAAAGGAAGCAAATGCCCAGGAAGCTCGGGCAGTGTGCCTCTAACTTCATGAAGTGTATCTAGGCTAGCAACACCGTGCAAGTTCTGGGAGGAACTATGTTGAGTGAGAATTAGCTGTCAGAATTTCTAGATGGTGGAAGGGTGATCATTTTTTTTTTTTTGGTGTTTCATTTGTTTTATAGCTTTTGCACAATTTCTATAATGAGTGGATCGATTATAACATGAACCAAGCATGTTTTTAAAAGGCTGTCCTAGGGCCGGGTGGTGGTGGCGCATGCCTTTAATCCCAGCACTCAGAAGGCAGACAGAGGCAGGCAGATCTCTGCGAGTTCAAGGCCAGCCTGGTCTACAGAGCGAGTTCCAGGACAGGCACGGAAACGACACAGAGAAACCCTGTCTCGAAACAAACAAACAAGTAAATAATAAAAAGCTGTCCTTCAAAAAAAGAACAAAATACTTGTGTTGCAAATAATGTCATGAAGAAAAGCAGAAAGCCAGGCGCTGTGTGCCTGTCTGTGATTCCAGGAGAGGGGAGCTGAAGCAGGGGGATTGCCATGACTTCTAGGTCACCCTGGGATACAAACTGAGATCCTATCTCAAAACACAAGAAAGGAAGGAAGAGAAGGGAGGGGAGGGAGGGGCCAGACAGCTCACAAAATAGGTTTTTGCGATCATACATCCAAGGACCGTCTTATACTCAGAAGGCATAAAGGACACAACAGAAATACAAAGGAACGCATTTCAGTGGGAGAAGGACCTGAACAGACATTTCCCCATCGAGGACACACAGATGGCCAGGAAGCACAGGAGGAGATGCTCAACAGCTGATTGCCAGGGAAACACAAATCACAGTCTCACAGAGGTACTGCTGCACACTGCAGGGACAGCCATCATCCCAAGGACCAACCATGGGTATGGAAGGTACTGGAGACACGGGAACCCCCCTGCTCTCATGACCTGCTGCCAGGGAAGCAACATGAGGTCACCATGGTGGAAACTGCCGGGAAGACAAAGCACAAGCTTGTCATGGGGACAGCAACGCCTCTCCCAGGTCATACCAGAGACATGAAAGTCCTGTGTTCGTGCAAAAAGCATGCACACCCCTGCAGAGCAATTCAAAGCAGAAACAGCCAAATGTTCCACCCCCGAGGGATGGACAGAAAGTGCACCATGTCCACAGGATTGACAAATGGCATACTCTAGCCTCACAGGGAGACAGTGCAACCTGTCCACATGACAAGATGCTATGCAGCTGTGGGAAAGAGTGAGGCGTGGACACACGCCCAGTGTAGACGAAGCTCAGCCACATTGTGCTGAGCGAAAGAAGCCAGGCACCCAGGGCCAGATGCCACTCGATGCCACTTACGTGAAGTGTTCAGGAGACCACAGAGACAGAAAACAGAGTGGTGGATTCTAGGAATGGGAAAGAGGGGTCACTGGGAAGGGCTGCTCATGGAGGCCAGGTTTTTGTCTGGGGTCACAGAAGGGCTAAGCATTGTGACATGGTGGCTCACGCTGTATGAATCACCATAAACATCAACCGCACCCTCTAAATGGGCAACAGATACAGCCTGTGGATCACATCTGCCTTAGTTAGGGTTTCTATCGCTGTGATAAACACCACAGCCAAAGCATCTTGGGGAGGAAAGAGATCATTTGGCTTACTCTTCTGCATCACAGTCCATCATCAAAGGAAGTCAGGGCAGGAACATGGAGGCAGGACTGAGGCAGAAGCCATGGAAGAACACTGCTGTCTGGCTTGTTCAGCCTGCTTTCTTATATAGCCCAGGGCAACCTGCCCAGGGATGGCATGACCCAGAGTAGGCTGGGGCCTCCCCCATCAACCAAGAAAACCCTGCACAGACTGCTACAGGTCAATCCTTTTTGTTTGTTTGTTTTGCTTGAGACAGGGTCTCACTATGTAGCTCTGGCTGTCCTAGAACTCACTTTGTAGACCACGCTGGCCTTAAACTCACAGAGAGCTGCCTGCCTCTGCCTCCTGAGTGCTGGGATTAAAGGTGGGCGCCACCACCACCCAGCCGTCCTACAGGCCAATCTTAAGCAGGCATTTTCTCAGCTAAGATTTTCTCTTTTCATATGTCTGGCTTGTCACGTTGACAAAAAGCCAGCAGCACAACATCTCCATGACACAACCCTCCCAGGAACTAAAGCATGCGAAGCTGTGGTGTTGGTTGCAGTTTGGGGTGTACTTTCCGAAGTCAGCTGAGGACTTCAGGTACTGATGGATCCAGGGTCAAAAACATTGGGAAAGCCCACCCAACCTGTGAGCTGAGGAGGAAGAAGTCTGAACGTGTTGTCTTTGCCTGGGGGCCTTGGGTCCCAACACCCTTTATGTTCTGAAGCCCGGGCCTATGGCACAGGAAAGGTAGAGGGGTGCCTTCCTCCATGCGTAGGTAGAAGGCAAGGTGGGGAGAGGTATGGAACAGGAAGGGGTGTCCCCAGCCCCCCATTCCCTCTCAGCAGCTCTGCTGTCAGCCACTCAGAGGCTTAAACAGCTATTAAACATCTGGTATGCATGGACACTGAGTCGGAGACAGATGTAAACATGGGGACTCAGGCCGTGTCTTCCGTCTCCCACAGCAAAGGCTGATGGCGACCAGCCTGGGCCACGCAGAGATCCCTGGTACTGTGATATGGAGACACTGGGCAGGAAGAATGGAGTGGTAGAAGATGCTCAGCCTTCCTGGAGGAAGAGGGCTACAAGCTGAGACCTGAAAGGAAATACCAGCAGAAGGAACCCAGTAAGAGAAGGCAGAAGCCGCCTGGAGCCAGGGGTTGAAATGTAGAGGGAGTGGAGGTCATGTTCAGAGGGCCAGATGCCATCCTAAATTCAGGGAGTGGTGGGCACTTCCCTGAAAAGCACAGCTGTGAGCTCCCCTGGGTGTCTGGGTGTCTGGTGGAGCTGGTCCGCACCAGCCAGGCGCCACTGTGATTCCTGACTCTCGGATCCACCTTGCAACCTTGCAACCTGCAGCAGCCACCATCCCCTGAAGTCCTCTCTCAGACCAGCCTTTCCACACGTGTGATGAACCTTCAGGCTCCTGAGCCTCTGCCTTCTGGGCCCCCTCGTCCAGATGGATCTGACCCACAGTGGGCAGGAGAGTGGGATGCAGCCCCTCCGGCCGCTGGTCCTCATGAGGTCTGATCACACGGATGGGCCGTGGGAGCAGGGACGCGGGAGTACGTAAAAGTAACGTGTTTGAGAGCAATGGCAGGGAGGCGGCTCCTCAGATGGCTTCTGTGTCCCCCACACCATCTGTTGAGCAGGAGGGGTGAGCAGGGCCCCCCCAGTCTCCCCACAGCCCATACGCTGTGTCCCCAAGTGTCGTGTTGGTGAGACCAGCTCTTGAGTCTACCAAGTATAAAACGTGGGTCAGGAGTAGCCTGCGAAGCACCTTGCTCTGCGCCCTTCCCTGTACCACGAGCCTCAGTTCAGCCTGTGTTCAGGGACACAGGCTGTCGGCTTGTTTGATGTTCATCTGCAATTTAGTCTGAACCATCTGTGCCCGGCATGGAGCTCAGTGCCATGTGACAGGTCCACTTGGCCATGCTCGCCATTCCCCGTGTGAGTGGATGAGGCCACGACTTAAAAGACAGCCACATGACAAAGTGATACCCGTGGTTCACTGTGCTGACCCGGCTCAGAAAAGAGAGACCAGCCTGGCCTGGATCCCTCTTGGCACTGGAGGTGAACCCCAGTGTGCAATGTGCATCTAGGCACAGAGCACTTGGACAAGATTATGGGAGTGGTTTGAGCAGAACAGCTGTGGCTTGAGTGTGTGTCTCCCTAGGGCTCCTTGTGGTTGAAGGCTTAGTGCCCAGGGTGAACCTGTTAGGAAGTGGCAGGACCTTTGGCAGGTGAGGTCTAGTGGACGGTCCTTGATCACTGGGAATGTGCTCTTTCAAGGGGGTTATGGGATCCAGTCTCTCTGATTCCACATCTGGCAAGGTGAACTCTTCCATGCATAGCCACGTGCCTCTGGTGTGATACGATGGCTGAGAGAAAGGCTCCTCCCCCAAACTGAGCAGATGCAGGCACTATGCCCCTGAACCTCTAGCACCTAGAGCTAAATAAACCTTTTCATTTGATAATGTTAGCTGCCTCGGGTATTATGCTATAGTGGGGTATTTTTTTAAAAGCTGAATAGTACAACCCTAAAAACTGGAAACCAATATCTATTCATGGCAGAATGGGTGAATCAAGAGGAACAGCTGTGCAGATGAAGCTTAAACACAGTGTTGGGAGAAAAAAGAATGGAGACAGCATGATTCCATGCGCACGAAGTTCAGAAGCAAGACAAAGCCAACTGGCACAGGCGGTTGAATGACGAAGAAAGGAAAGATCACTAATTCAGGTTCCTGGTTTTGTTCGAGAGGAGAAGAAAGTAGGTTATATGGGGTTTGAGATCCTGAAGACAAGGGTCGATTCCCTAACCTGGGTGGTCCTTCCATGAGCACTCACTATACAGCGATTCCCTAATTATACAAATGTGCGCTGGGCGGTGGTGGCACATGCCTTTAATCCCAGCACTCAGGAGGCAGAGCCAGGCCGGTCTCTGTGAGTTCGGGGCCAGCCTGGTCTACAGAGTGAGATCCAGGACAGGCACCCTGTCTCAAAACCCACCCCCCAAAAAACAAAAACAAAAACAAACAAATATGCACTTGGCCAAGGGCAACACTCACCTTTCCCAGGGTGTAGACACATGAGACGGAGAAAAGCGGTGAATGTGAAAATGTGCTGTGATGTCCACTGTTTGTTCTTGTTTACCTTGGGCCAAGGACTTGACCTGTCTAAGCCTCTAAGATTCCTCATCTATAAAGGGGAAAGTAACAGTAATAATAATGATAATAACAATAATAATACCTGCTCCATAAAGTTATTTTAGGATTAAACATGACAGTAATGTAAAGTGCTGACTACAGTCAAGTACATAAGTTTAATTTTCATCACCATCATCATAATCACTATCATCACCACCAGAATCATAATCACCATCATCATCACTACCATCACCATCACCGTTGACTTGAAATCAACCATGCCATCCACAGAACACCCATCCTGACTTGGTCCTATACTTCCTCCAGGTGCACTAAAGGTGCCGTCACAGTTTCTTCCTGCTGTCACAAGGCAAGATGCTATCCCTAGACAGGGGTTACCGGGCCAGGAGTGGACGTCTGGCTTTAGCTGACCCAAACTGAGTCTGTCTCGAATGATTTGATTCAGGAGTCCATACAAGCAATGCTTATGGTGGAGAGAGAAGGCTGTTGCAGAGAAAGCAAGGCCACAGAGAGCACAGAAATAAAGAGCCTGGTAAGAGGTTGGACTGCAGGACTCAGAAGAAGGAAGACTCAAGTTCCAACATAATGAAAAGGCAGCCTTGACTGCAAGTCATGGGGAGAGCCTTGGGAGAAATTGAGCCAGCTGGGACCTTGCCCTTGAGTTTCCAGATCCAGAACTTTGAGCAATAGATACCATTGCATAAGCCCCTTGGCCTGTGGTCATTAGTTACGGCTGACCCACAGCCCAGTCACAGGACCTGGCAAGGTGTTATATAAGTAGGTGTCAGGGATGAGGCGTGATTAGCAGAGTGCTTGCCTTGCATGTGAAAAGGCCTAAGTTCAATCCCCAGGAGCACATAACCCAGGCATGTACATATCTGTAATCCCAGCACTCAGGGGGATCAGAAGTTCAAGGTCAGCCTGGGTTGTGTGAGATCTTGTATGAAACAAACAACCAAAAAAGTCACTCAAGCTGGGCGGCGGTGGTGCTTGCCTTTAATCCCAGCACTCAGGAGGCAGAGCCAGGTGGATCTCTGTGAGTTTGAGGCCAGCCTAGTCTACAGAACGAGAGCCAGGGCAGGCACCAAAACTACATGGAGAAACCCTGTCTCGAACACCCCCCCCCAAAAAAAAAGTCACTCAAGTGGCGAATGACTTCAGCTTTGTGAGCTATGTGGTGTCTAATAGAACTGCTCAATTAGCCTGTTAGAGTGTCAGTGTCGATAGAGAGTTATGGACACCCTAAGTACTTGGCCATAGCTGTGTTATAAAACAAAATAAAGCCGGGCGGTGGTGGCGCACGCCTTTAATCCCAGCACTTGGGAGGTAGAGCCAGGAGAATCTCTGTGAGTTCGAGGCCAGCCTGTGCTAACAAGTGAGTTCCAGGAAAGGCGCAAAGCTACACAGAGAAACCATGTCTCAAAAAACAAAACAAACAAACAAACAAAAAAAAACAAAATAAAACTGTGTCAAAAAAAAAAAGCTGGAGTTTGCATGACCCTTGGCTTAAAACAACAGTTCATTTTATTCAAAGACTAAGAATATAAAAAGATTGGAATAGGAAGATTTCCTCTCAGGGCGGTGTGTGCTCTTTCAGGACAGTGCGTGCATGGCTCTTCCTGGATGTCGTCTGCCTCTGGGAGTCTCTGTTTCTATCTGTCTCTGTGTGTGTCTCCATCTGTCTCTGTCTATCTGTCTGTCTGTCTCTGTCTGTTTCTCTGTCTCTGTCTGTCTCTGTCTCTGTCTCTCTCTCTCTGCCTATGCACCGTCTGGGCTTTCTTACAGCAATGGCAACTGTCCTGAGCTCCAGCAGCCTCTCAAGAGATTGACGCTGCCACTCACTGCTCATGAACTAACTTCTGTTGTGCTTGCCAGCCCGTCAGGGTTCAGGGACGGGAAGGCAGTGCCCATCTAGGTGTGGGAGGAGGGTTGACCACACACCCAAGAAGCATTCATATGGGAGATTTTGCTTTTGGGGGTATGGAGTATGGGCATGGTAAATATGAGTATACTTTAATTTTTATTTATTTATTTGTGTATGTGTGTGTGTGGTATGTGCGCAGTGTTTGTATGTATGTATGCCATACGTGTGCAGTGCTTGTGGGATCCAGAAGAGGGCGTCTGATTCCCTGGAACTGGGATTGCCTGTGGTTTTGAGCCATCCAATGAGGATACTGAGAACTCAACCTGGGTATTCTGCAAGAGCAAGCAAGTGATCCTAACCTCTGAGCCATCTCTTCATGCCCCAAATATTGTATTTTATAAGTGTTTTCTTGACAATTTGAAATAATTTCCAGTCAGTTCTCAGTTTTACCTTAATTAACATCTCTTTCTTGGGATGAGTAGGTAACAGGGATTGAACCCAGGACCTCCCCCATACTGGACAAGCATTCTACCACTGAGCTAACTCCTCAGTCCTTCGGCTGAGTTCTTTCAAGGAGTCAAACAAGCTCATGTGGAAGTGAAAAGGGGACTTTCTCTACACAGAGAAGCCAGAGCAGCCGCCACCACCACCAAGTTACAACCAGAAAACATCCTGGGCATGGGGAGAGACCGGCAAACAACAAATCGTGACGCCTGAGGCTAGAGAGGGCTGGGACCTCAAACGTCATTATTTTCCCATTAGCAAAGCTCTCACCCAGGAGGGCCAGGCAGTTTTCTAGACGAGGAGAGTGTGTGACTCCACATGAGGTCACTGAGGCAAGGTTTCCAGCCAAGCTCAGCACCCAAGGGTCCATGGAGGACGAAGGCTGCAGCTCAATGGTACAGCACTTGCCTAGCACAAACACACAAGGCCCTGACTTCATCCCCAGTGAGAGGCTGCAGAAGCCTGTTTGCGAGGGTAGCTTTGCTTCTTCCTTGGCTCTTGTTTTAAGTTGCTGGGTGGTACTGTGTTTAAATCACTTTGGCAAAATTCCTCTTCAATGCAATCAATACCTCCAGTCCTACTTTATGGGGCAAATGGTTCCAAACTGCACAAACATACCTCAAATATCTGCACTCCAGAGACTAGAGCAGGTCACTGCCTGAGCGACCCTGGGAGTGGTAGATAAGAGGGGGCACGCAGGGAAGGGTGGACAGAATGGCAGGGGAGGAAAGGCATGCATGGTTGGGGGTAGCAGTACCCTGTTATCTGGCTTGAGGCCATCACCACTTCCCAGAGGGAATGCGTTTGCCATGCAGTGCTGTGCAGGCAAGGGCTGCCGAGTCAGCAAAAGGGGGCAGGAAATAAAATGGAAGAAGATGCAGTGTGTTGACGGAGTGATGGCATGGTTTGTTCCTACAGTGTAGGGGAAGGGAGCAGGTTGAGAGCCAGGCATCCCCATCACCACATCTCAGTGGTGGTCCTACTCCCTTATAGATCCCTATACTTACTAGGTCCTTGGATCCTCACAGCGACCCTATTAGAACTGTCCTTAGTCCTACTTTATAGGTCAGGCAACTGAGTGCAGGGACATGAAGTGGCTACCCAAAGAGCCACACAGTCTGGAAACTGGAATCAGAATTTGAACCTGAGCCTAAGAAAGATGAGTCTGGCCCATTTGACCACATACGAATAATCAATGATTTCCATTTACACCTAACAGACTCAATATACTGTTTCCTACCCATTTAGATTAACATATTAAAACGTATAAGAAGCAAAGTAAGTCTGAGGAGAGCAAGCACGGTCTGGAAGAATGACGACCCTGTGCCTCCCCCCTCCCCAAGGAGTATGGCAGCCACTGCCAACTTCCAGTAAAGTCCAAGATGTGCTGCGCCCAGCAGTCCACCATAGGCATTCAGAGGACCACCTGAAGGGGAACCCTGAGTCAGGGACCAGAGTGACAGGAAACATGCATGGACCCAGAGCTGGAACTGGCACCTCCCCAACGTCTTTGGAAAGAAAAGGACTGCCACTTGGCTGGTGGTCTTTAAGGAGAGGGTGCTGTGCCTAAAGCAAGGGGTTGGGTTTGGGGTTGAAATCTGGGGTTCTGGAAGCACCCCTATCATCTTGAGAACTCTTTTAGCTGCAGGCGACTCTCCCAGTAGAGACCCTGGCTAGCTGCAGGTGCTCTCAGCCTGAGACTCCACCATCTGGGCCGTCATTCTGGGCTCACTGGGCCACCTGTCACCACCAGCCCCCACTAACTCCGACCCTGTGCACCTGTGAAGCCATACGACCCCCCCCTCCTCATCCCACTGCACCACCCGCTGCCATTCCCTGTGCGCATTCCGAGAGGGCAGGGGATGCGGGCTCTTGTCTTTGGATTGATGGTCCAGGAAATGCATTTTCAATTAGTCCCAGGATGCTGAGGTCCAAGAATCAGACATCATCTCTTAGTGGGGGTGGGTAATGAGTGGAGAGAGACCTAGTGACCGCGGAGTGGGGACCCCAACGAGTGACCGCTTCTGGAATGGGGGGGATACCTGTTGGCCAGGGCACAGGGCTCAGGACGCACAGGATTTGTTGGCTTTGCTCCAAGATGCAAACGTGTGGCCCAACTTTCTATTAATCTTTGGGGGTTGGGGGGAGCTAAACGCTGTTCGCTAAAGGCGTGTTTTCCGAGGTGAGCGCCTCTCGGGGGACCCCCAGTAGCCCTGAAGGAGGAAGGAGGGAGTATGTGTCACAGGGAGAAACCACCTGTGGTTAGCAGGAGCCTCGCCGTCAAGTCGTGGCCAGCGCGGACCGCGGTGCTGGCATCCCCTCGGCTAACGGGGTGGGGACCGCGCGGCCCTCCACTGCCTGCGGCGCCCGCGACTCGTCCCGGTTCCCGGCCGCGGCGTGCGCTCGCGGTGCCCGGTTCCTTCCCGTTACGCAGTTCCTGTCCCTTTAAATCCCAGTCCCTGCCAGGGGAGGCTGGGGCGCGCCGGCCGGACCCCGAGCCGGGGGAGG